GATGTAACTAATAAGTAACTTTCAAGTAACATGTATGTAACTTTTAAAAAACTTGTAAGTAACATGTATGTAACTTTTAAGTAACATTATATAACATTAACGTAATATTACGTATTCTTTAAGTAAGATAAATGTAATATTACAGTAACATGTTTGTAAATTTTAAGTAACTTATAAGTAACTTTTTAGTAACTTTTAAATAACATGTATGTAACTTCTAAGTAGCTTTTAAGTAACATAAATGTAACTTTTAAATAACTTAAAAAAATAAATGTAACTTTTAAGTAACATATACGTAACAAGAATGTAAGTTGTACGTAACATTATGTTACCTGTAATTAACATAACTTTTATGTAACAAGTACGTAACAGTAATGTAACTTTTAAGTAAGATGTATGTAAGTTTTATGCAACTTTTAGGCAACAAGTATATAACAGAAATGTAACTTTTAAGTAACATAATTGTAATTCTAAATAATGTTTCTATTCCATTCTATACACACCTCTTCCATTCTATACGATCCTGTTCCATTCTATACAATTCTATCCAATTCTATAATATACAATAATTGATATTACTTTACAATTATTAAAGTTACTTTAATATTACATTACAGTTAGTAAAGGTAGTTTAGAATTACTTTAATATTACTTTACAGTTACTAAAGGTAGTTTAAAGTTACTAAAGTTACTTTAATATTACTTTACAGTTACTAAAGGTAGTTTAAAGTTACTTTAGTGTTACTTTACAAGTATTTACAGTTACTAAAGTTACTGTAACGTTACTAAAGTTACTTTACAGTTACTAAAGTTACTTTAACGTTACTAAAGTTACTTTACAGTTACTAAAGTTACTTTAACGTTACTAAAGTTACTTTACAATTACTAAAGTTACTTTAACGCTACTAAAGTTACTTTACAATTACTTTAATGTTACTGTACAGATACTTTAGTGTTACTTTACACTTACATTAATGTTACTTTACAGTTACTAAAGTTACTTTAATATTACTTTACAGTTACTAAAGGTAGTTTAAAGTTACTTTAATATTACTTTACAGTTAATAAAGGTAGTCTAAAGTTACTAAAGTTACTTTAATATTACTTTACAGTTACTAAAGGTAGTTTAAAGTTACTTTAGTGTTACTTTACAAGTATTTACAGTTACTAAAGTTACTTTAACGTTACCAAAGTTACTTTACAGTTACTAAAGTTACTTTAACGTTACTAAAGTTACTTTACAGTGACTTTAATGTTACTTTAATGTTACTTTACAGTTATTAAAGTTACTTTACAGTTACTTTAATGTTACTTTAATGTTACATCACAGTTACTTTAATGTTACTTTACAGTTACTAAAGTTACTTTAATGTTACTTTACAGTTCCTAAAGTTACTTTAATGTTACTTTACAGTTGCTAAATTTACGTTAATGTTACTTTAATAATACTTTACAATTATTTACAGTTACCAAAGGTAGTTTAAAGGTACTAAAGTTACTTTACAGTTAACAAAGTTACTTTAACGTTACTTTACAGTAACTAGTTATTTTACAGTTAATAATGACAACTTTTAAGCAACATGAACATAACAGAAATGTAACTTTTAACTTTTAAGTAACATATATGTAACTTTTGAGCACCGAATATCTTTTTTCCTCTTTTTTTCTCATTTTCCACTATTTTTTGTCTGGTTGTTTTTTTTTTTTTTTTTGTATTTTCCAACTTAACTTCATTGAGAGATTTATTCGGATTAAACACTAACAGTTTGTGTTTAGCTTTCTAGTGCAAGGGAAAGGGGGGAAATAAAAAAAAAATTTTATTGCGCAAGTCGTGTTCCGCACCAGATAGCAACGAGCCTCGCCATTCTATATGTATATGTATATAATACTGAACACAATGGCACATCTCTTGCGAGCAGAAAATTCATTCGATTTTCCATAATATTATATATATATATATATATATACTAATGCTAAATGAGACAATTTCTTCATCGAGAAATATATAAAGACGCAGTATAATGGTAATTTCAAAGATGCATTTTGTTTCGTTATAAAGTGAATAAAAAAATAAAAAATAAGCACATTCACACAATGGTTCTTGCGATATGTATTTGTGAACACGTGCAGACCTGTTTGATATATATTATTATAAGAAGGATCTTGTTCTTTGTACAGCATCAAAATCCACCCACGAAACAACGTCATCTCTTTATGTTTTCAATTTGGGAAATTCAATTATTAAAAATAAAATGAATTTTTCTTATTTTCACTATGTCATGATGAGTTTTCTTATTGTATATATTTATATACCTATATATATATATATATATATATATATATCAATTATTACATGATACTTTTGGTTGCGTCTAAAAGAAAAAGTGAAATTGTATTATTCTTTATTGAAACATAGATTTGTTAATGGCGCAGCATCCTTAAATTATTTATTATATTTTCTAAAACGATTTCTTTATGCAATCGATTACATATTTTTCTTTTTTTTTTTTTTTTTTTTTTGTTGTATTATTAATATATTAGAAAATCAATTATGATAATAAATTGTATATTATCAAATTTTCTAACCGAATTTACAAATTGGATAGCCGTAATTGAAACATTTTTAAAATTTCCATTGGCTTCAATTACGGTGGTTAAAGTATCTTCAAAATACACGTATAATTTTGGTCACCGTAATTGATACATCGAAACTGATACAAACGCACCGTAATAGAAAATTATGGTATTAGTTTTAATTTCTCATATTTGTTTAAATTAATTGATTTTCATCAAGTTAAATTTTTTTTTAATATCTAAATAACATAAGTTTTTAGTTTAATAAGTCTTAAATTGACTTTATATACAATTTAGAAATGTCGAATTTTCTATATTTCAAAGGTGTTTTAACTTGAATCGCGCCATAATTAGTGTATTTACCCTAGAAATTAATATTATATATTTTTTAATAATTATTATTAATTGGTTTTTGGGTAAATTTATTTTACAGAAATATTATGTAGATACCACATAAAGACCATATTTGTAGAATTTACAAACACAGCATATTTTTGATTCTTAAATTTTAGTACTAAGATATATTGTTGAACTATTTACACTTTTCCGTCGGAATTTCATCGGAGTTCCAAAGAATTTCCGATGGTATTCCGACGGAATTCCGATTAATTTTTTCAAAATTTTTAGACTCCTAATTCCGTTGGAATCCCATCGGAAATTCTTTGGAACGTCGGTGGAATTCCGATTAATTTTTTTCAAAATTTTTAGAGTCCTAATTCTGTCGGAAATTTGTCGGAATCCCATCGGAAATTCTTTGCAACTCCGGTGGAATTCCGACGGAATTCCGATTAATTTTTTCAAAATTTTTAGAGTCCTAATTCCGTTGGAATCCCATCGGAAATTCTTTGGAACGTCGGTGGAATTCCGATTAATTTTTTTCAAAATTTTGAGAGTACTAATTCTGTCGGAACTTTGTTGGAATCCCATCGGAAATTCTTTGGAACTCCGGTGGAATTCCAACGGAATTCCGATTAATTTTTTCAAAATTTTTAGAGTCCTAATTCCGTCGGAACTCCGTCGGAATCCCATTGGAAATTCTTTGGAACTCCGGTGGAATTCCGACGGAATTCCGATTAATTTTTTCAAAATTTTTAGAGTCCTAATTCCGTCGGAATCCCATCGGAAATTCTTTGGAACGTCGGTGGAATTCCGATTAATTTTTTCAAAATTTTTAGAGTCCTAATTCTGTCGGAACTTTGTTGGAATCCCATCGGTAATTCTTTGGAACTCCGGTGGAATTCCAACGGAATTCCGATTAATTTTTTCAAAATTTTTAGAGTCCTAATTCCGTCGGAACTCCGTCGGAATCCCATCAGAAATTCTTTGGAACTCCGGTGGAATTCCAACGGAATTCCGATCAATTTTTTCAAAATTTTTAGAGTCCTAATTCCGTCGGAATCCCATCGGAAATTCTTTGGAACGTCGGTGGAATTCCGATTAATTTTTTCAAAATTTTGAGAGTACTAATTCTGTCGGAACTTTGTTGGAATCCCATCGGAAATTCTTTGGAACTCCGGTGGAATTCCGACGGAATTCCGATTAATTTTTTCAAAATTTTTAGAGTCCTAATTCCAGCGGAATTTCATCAGAATTCCGTCGGAACTCCGTCGGAAATTCTTCGGAATTCCGATTAATTTTTTCAAAATTTTTAGAGTCCTAATTCCGTCGGATTTCCATCAGAATTCCGTCGGAACTCCGTTGGAATCCCATTGGAAATTCATTGGAACTCCGATGGAATTCCGACGGAATTACGTTGAAAGTTCCGGCGGAATTCTGATAGAACCTCCAAGGGATTAGAAAAATAGAGAAGTTCGCAATTCACTTGATGAAGAGAGGCAAAAGTTAAAGGTGGTTAATTCTTAGAGACGGGATAACTAACGGAACATATTTTATCATTCGCCAAATCGGGTATCGCGAGAGCCTTTGAGAAATGGGTAACGCGTGGCTGGCTAGAGGCTCATATATATATATATATATATATATACACATACAGTGAGAGTTACGTGATTGCGTGGGATCTCTTATGTCGGTGTCTCGACCTCGTTACAAAATCGTCGTATCCTGTTGTAATACACTAAATTGTTCACTCCCCTTATATATATATATATATATACATATATTATGTACATATATATATATATATTTTTTTCCTTTCTTTATCAATATTTTGAACCCACCTGGTCTATTAAATTTATAATTAATACAAATTTTTACTGGTTGTTTTTTTTTTGGGGAATTTTATATCACTTATATTCTGACAATATTTAACCCAAATTTTTTTTTTTTAAATTAAATTATAGTTAATAAAAATTTTTAAGAATTATTTTGTTTATAAATTTTGTGTCACTTGTTTTGAAAATATTTTAAGGAAAAATTATTGTTTATGTAATATTAATTATGTTATTTTTTTTTGTTTTTGTTTTTAGAGTCCTGCGACGCTGCACAAAAATGTCGGCGGTGGAGGGACGAAAGTTAGTGGCAAAGCTGTTGATGCTGTTGGCTCGGCGACACTCAGCTCACTGTCGTCGATTAACAATTCCACTAATACAAGCCGGAATAAGAACAATCCAGTGTCACATGAGGTAGGAATGAGAATTTTTTTCATTTTGTATATTGTTACTTAAAAGTTACTTATTTGTTACCAAAAAAAAAACTTACACAACAGTTACTTAAAACTGTTATGTAACTTTTAAGTAACAGTTATGTAACTTTTAAGTAACAGTTATGTTATTTTTAAGTAACAGTTATGTTACTTTTAAGTAACAGTTATGTTACTTTTAAGTAACAGTTATGTTACTTTTAAGTAACAGTTATGTTACTCTGTTGTAACGCACCTGTTACCTAAAAGTTACTTAAAAGTTACATATTTGTTACTTCAAAGTTACATAACTGTTACCCAAGAGTTACGTTACTGTTATCTTAATGTAACGTTGTAGTTGGTAAAATGTAACATCTAAATAAAAGATGGTAACTTTTGTGTAATATACAAGTAACTTTTAGGAATTAGAAAAGTAACATTTAGGTACAAATTTGGATAACAAACATTTAACTTTTAAGTAACTGTTTAGTAATCAGTATGTAACTTTTAAGTAACAGAAAGTAATTTTTAAATAACAAACAGGTTATTTTTAAGTTACAGAAAAGTTACTCTTAAGATATTAAAGGGTATAACATTTTGTTAGGTAACTTTTAAGTAACAAAAAATAACTTTTGGGTAACAAACATTTAACTTTTAAGTTACTTTTCACTAATCTTTATGTTACTTTTCACTAATCTTTATGTAACTTTCAAGTAACTGGAAGTAAATTTTTATATAACAAACTGGTAAATTTTAAGTAAAAAACAGGAAATTTTTAAGTAACAGAAAGGTAACTTTCGAGAAATAGATATAGGTAACATTTTATTAAGAAATAGGTAACTTTTAGGTGAGAAACATGTATATTTTTTGAGTAACAGAAAAGTAATGTTTTAGAAATAGATGGATAACATTTGATTAAAAAATAGATAACTTTTAAGTAACATAATGTTAACTTTCAAGTAACACAAAGGCAACTTCTAGGTAACAAATCTGTTACTTTTACGTAACAAATTGGTGATTTTAAAGTAACTTAAAGATAATTTTAAAGTAACTTAAAGATAATTTTAAAGTAACTTAAAGATAATTTTAAAGTAACTTAAAGATAATTTTAAAGTAACCTAAAAGTAACATAAAAGTAACATAGAAGTTACATAAAAGTAACTTTAAAGTAACATAAAAGTAACATAAAAATAACATAGAAGTAACATAAAAGTAACTTTAAAGTAACATATTTAGAAAAGAAATAGGTAACTTTTAAACCAAAAATATAGGTAAATTTTAAGTAACAATGTAATATTTAAAGTAAAAAATTTCGTTATACATTTAACTAAGAAAATAAATTCCAAATTTTCTTCGATTTTAAATTCTTTTGATTCTTGTCAAAAAAAAAAAAAAAAAAAAAAAAAAAAAAAACCGTTAAATATCAAAAAATCTAAAAATGAAATTGAATTTAGGTAAAATTTTTAATCTTAACACAAATTGACACGTCCTGTCTAGTATATCTACATATACATATTGTATATTTTATATCTAGATATCGCACACATTAGGAAAAAATTTTAACATATATGACTCACATCATTTCTATATGTATCTCGAAATCTACAGTGAATTCGAAAGAGAACCGGATTTTTTTTTTTTTTTTTTTTTTGTCGACAAAGAAATTGAAGGTTAAACATAAAATAACAAATCAGGTATAAATATTTTTTTGGGGTGAAATTTTTTTGGTACAACAATTAAAGAATTAAAATTTTTGTATAATATATTTTATAATATATATAATATATATTTTTAAAAAAAAATTTTTAAATATATTTTATAATATATATAATATATTTTACCTATATGTGAATTGTAAATATATATATATGTATATATAAAATTCACATATAGGTTTAAATTTATTTATATTGCGCCTTTGTTCGAAAACTTCTATTTCTTAAGATTTTACGTAACCCATATAGCACCTTGATCTATCGATGTTGCTGCAGGGAAACAAAAGGCGAGTGCACGTCAGATCGACCTGACATTTCAAGGAGATGGATTTCCGATTACAATTCTCACAGTGTTGACATATATATATACACTTGACTTCTCTTCGGCAATAGTCAATTCCTTTTCAGGTTCTATTTTTTTCTTTCAATTTCTCTTTATAAATTATTGAAATTTTTCAATTTTTTGTGTCCCTTAAAAAAAAAAATTACAATAGCAATAAAATAATAATAATAATAATAAATAATAATGATCATAATAATAATAAAAATAATAATAATAATAAATATTAACAATAATAATAATTATAATAAAAAATATTAACAATAATAATAATAATAATTAAAAAAGAATAAAACAACCATCGTGTTAAAAAAAAAAACACCAAAACATTTCCGGTTTTCTCGCGTCGAAGCAGCAATAATAGCTGAGAGATGAATTACGTAAAAAAAAGGAGTCAACAATTAGACGCAATACTCCATAGAGGAAAACTTTCTAAATTCACCTATGAATTAGTCGTGCCTTAAAACAAGTCTTACTTAAGTGCATTGGTCGCGTGCACAATATTCTAAGTGAACGTATATATATATATATATATATACACGATGCCCGCTCATATACATATACATACAAATAATACATTTAAGAATACCGGATGTGATTCAATCAGAAATTGGTGATTCATAACCAAGTGAAAGGAATTGAAAAATTATTTGCAAAAATTCTTTTATAATTAAAATGATTTAATCTTCTCGTTTATTTATTTAAACTTGATTTGTGTAAAAAGAAAGTAAAAAAAAACGACACTGATTTTTTTTTTTCCTTTCAATTCTAATGTATTTCAATTTCGATATAATTATCGATTTATTTCGATATGTTTCGATGTTATTATCGATTTATTTCGATATATTTCGATGTAAATATCGATTTATTTCGATATATTTCGATATAATTATAGATTTATATCGATATATTTGGATGTATTTCGATTTAATTATCGATATATTTCGATATATTCATCCATTTTATTTCTCTAATTATCGATAAACGATTTAATTCGATATAATTATCGATTTATTTCGATAACCATCGATATAATAATCGATTTAGTTCGATAAATTTCGATAATGGATTTATTTGCGATTTAATAATCGATTTAGTTAGATGTATTTCGATACATTGCGATAATCTATTTATTTCGATAAATATCAATATAAAAGTCGCTTTCTTTTGATACATTTCGATATAATTATAGATTTATTTCGATATATTTTGGATGTATTTCGATTTAATTACTTTTCAGTAAAATTCGATTTAATTATCGATATATTTCTATATATTTATCCATTTATTTCTCTATTCATCGATAAGAATTAATATGATTAAATATATTGCGATAAACGATTTAATTCGATATAATTATCGATTTATTTTGATAACCATCGATATAATAATCGATTTAGTTCGATAAATTTCGATAATGGATTTATTTGCGATTTAATAATCGATTTAGTTAGATGTATTTCGATACATTGCGATAATTTATTTATTTCAATAAATATCGATATAATAGTCGATTTATTTCGATAATTATCGATATATTTAGATATTTATCGATAAGTATCGACTTTTTCGATTTATTTTGATATGTTTCGATACATTAAAGTAATGGATTTATTTCGATATACGTAGATAAAATTCGATAATCGATAATTCGATATTAATCGATAAGTATCGATATCAATCGATAAGTATCGTTAGTAATCGATAAGTATCGATTTTTTTTCGATACATTGGAATAATCGATTTAATTTTGATATAATAATCGATTTAGTTAGATATATTTCGATACATTGCGATAATTTATTTATTTCAATAAATATCGATATAATAGTCGATTTATTTCGATAATTATCGATATATTTAGATATTTATCGATAAGTATCGACTTTTTCGATTTATTTTGATATGTTTCGATACATTAAAGTAATGGATTTATTTCGATATACGTAGATAAAATTCGATAATCGATAATTCGATATTAATCGATAAGTATCGATATCAATCGATAAGTATCGATATCAATCGATAAGTATCGTTAGTAATCGATAAGTATCGATTTTTTTCGATACATTGGAATAATCGATTTAATTTCGATATAATAATCGATTAAGTTTTGATATATTTCGATATATTGCAATAATCGATTTAATTCGATATTTAAATATCGATTTTGGTTTCGATACAAGTAATTGATATATTTATCGATTTTGTTTCGATACTAAAATTCACTATTTCTATCGAGATTATTTCAATAAAAAAAAAATCGACTTACCTATCGATCTTCTTCGTTATAAAAATTCGATAAATTTTTTGGGATAAAAAATTTATAATTTTTTTTTTTTACACACAACCTTCATTATATGCGCAGCAGTTGGCTAATTGCCATACACGCACTATATATATATATGAAGTCAGAGAAGAAGAGACTTGAGGGTAAGGTGACTTTAGTATGGAGAGCATGAAACAAACATAAGAGGTAACCTGATCAGACAGTATTGTATCTCAGATTTCGCGATAACATAAATATTCCAGTCTGTTGCGAGAACAAAGTGAGAGAGAGAGAGAGAGAGTTTATACCATCAAACAGAAACCTAACTCCAGATAATCATGAACGCGACAATGCCGTAAAATCTCCTTGAGGGAAGAAGAATCTCTTCAATATATATATATATATATATATACCTATACGTATATATATAAATATGTTCACATATTGTCAACCAACACGAGAAATATCATTATACCTCATCCAATTGTTTATTCATGTAATAAGCTCATTTTGCAAAGAATCGTGAAACCTTCACTGATGCTCGTACACTTTTGAACCGGGAAGTTGAAATTTTATTTTTCTTCAAGATATTGCAATAAATTTATCGTTTTACTTTGAAATATCGAATGATTTATCGATAAGTGTCGATTTATTTCGATACATTTCAATGTAATAGTCGA